TCTTGCTTTACAACCTCGCCTTGGATTTTTCTAGGGGACAGGACTGAAGACCCTGGGAACAAACTTGTCGTTCAAAGAATTAAGGTATATCGCTTGACCACTGACTTATACAACTGTTTTTTTCTCTTGCCCTCTTTCCCATTACAGGTTTATTGATTCAAGCAACCAGAAGCAGAGGATAAACTTTGAACTTCTTAGTCAATTAGACACCTTCAAAAATAGACTTAATGACTCTGGCAGCTTGGAGCAGAGGAACAAAATGGCAAAAATTTAAATATGAAAATTATATCACGGACGAGATAAATGAAATAAATGGCGGCATTTCGTCAGAGAATGTATAACTTCACTGGTCTGTGCAGAGATAATGTTGATGACCAGATATGTACCAATCATTCTTAAACATATCCGCAAGTATCTTTCGATTTTATGACGAAATCGATTCCTTTAGAATCGAGTTGACCATGATGATCAATGTTCTTTAATTTTTTTTTCTTTTCTCTCAAATGTATCTCATTAAGATCGCTTGGTGTTGAACATTGTCAGAGACAAGAAATCCACATTTCTCTTCTTAACGGGAGGAAAAGGACAAAAAAGAGATAAAGGCCGTGCTTACACGAGGAGAGAGAAAATTGTTTCATTTCTTGCGATATATTGCAGAGTTACACTGCTGCGGAAAGCTGATCATTACTAAAAGTGGGAGAACTTCACCTGTACTGCGAAAACTAATACTATTAGTCAGCACACATGGTGAATCTCGAGAATTTAGTCTGAATTATTGAAGTTTATCATTGGTGGTCTATCTTAGGAGTAAGCTCTCTTCCCAACTCTCAGATTGAGAAAAAGATCCAAGAGAGCTCAATGCGCTAATTAATTTAAAGGTGTTTTCACAAAACGTGACTAGATAAACCACAATGTACGAAGGAGCAATAGAAATCTTTTTCCATATGTTCATGGTAGGGAAAAAATCCTACAATTATCTCCCGAGATAATTGCCATAACATTGTATTAGATATTGCATGTAACAAGGAGTTTANATAAACTTTGAACTTCTTAGTCAATTAGACACCTTCAAAAATAGACTTAATGACTCTGGCAGCTTGGAGCCGAGGAACAAAATGGCAAAAATTTAAATATGAAAATTATATCACGGACGAGATAAATGAAATAAATGCCGGCATTTCGTCAGAGAATGTATAACTTCACTGGTCTGTGAAGAGATAATGTTGATGACCAGATATGTACCAATCATTCTTAAACATATCCGCAAGTATCTTTTGATTTTATGACGAAATCGATTCCTTTAGAATCGAGTCGACCATGATAATCAATGTTCTTTAATTTTTTTTTCTTTCCTCTCAAATGTATCTCATTAAGATCGCTTGGTGTTGAACATTGTCAGAGACAAGAAATCCACATTTCTGTTCTTAACGGGAAGAAAAGGACCAAAAAGAGATAAAGGTCGTGCTTACATGAAGAGAGATGAAATTGTTTCATTTCTTACGATATATTACAGAATTGCACTGCTGCGGAAAGCTGATCCTTACTAAAAGTGGGAGAACCTTACCTGTTCTACGAAAACTAATACTATTAGTCAGCACACATGGTGAATCTTGAGAATTTAGCTTGAATTATTGAAGTTTATCATTGGTGGTCTATCTTAGGAGTAAGCTCTCTTCCCAACTCTCAGATTGAGAAAAAGATCCAAGAGAGCTCAATGCGCTAATTAATTTAAAGGTGTTTTCACAAAACGTGACTAGATAAGCCACAAAGTACGAAGGAGCAATAGAAATCTTTTTCCATATGTTCATGGTAGGGAAAAAATCCTGCAATTATCTCCCGAGATAATTGCCAGAACATTGTATTAGATATTGCATGTAACACGGAGTTTAGAAATCGTTTTCGTTGCTTGCGAATTCGCGTTCTCAATAGTTTACAGTTGCGTGCTTGTCACTTAATTGAGAATACTGTTTTTGTCTGTTCGTCGTTGGTGAAAAGACATAATCCTCGAAAGTCTGCAATTTTAGCAAGAGAAAATGAGACCATTTTAGCACCAGGCAGTACATTTACGTTCTACACGTTTGGATGTGATTGGCAGTGTAGACTCGAAGTGGATTAACACGGTATTTTGAGTTATTTTGGCCACCTACAAAATTGCCTTTAAATTAAAGGAAACCTGAAAATGGCAGTATGCTAAGACAGACAAACACCAAATAGATAATAAGCAAACCATAAAGAAAGAAGGATGGTCAAGGATAGAGAAGATTGACACGGATTACAAACGACGAACTTGAAAAATTTAGGCTGAACTGTTCAAGGTTTGCAAATTGTGACGTAGCTCCTTTAAAATGGCGTTGTTATGGAAGAGCTCGCGCCACTTAATTTAGATAAACATTGTATTGCATTTAGTCTGATTATTACCGACAAAGACTACATTAGTCGTCATATATCACAAAACGCAAATAAAGTTAAAGAAAATTTTGAATACTTCAAGAGTTGCATTTTGAAGAAGGAATGTTGCTTCCCAAACTACTTGGACCGGAATTTTGTTAGGCCGCCCTGGGAGGGGGGCTGAGGGTTGAGCTGAGGGTAAGTTCCCGCACTGATATTAAAGGATCTTTCTAAACGTTATGTCTGGAACAGTTTGGCATGACATCACAGTTTTCTTGGAACTTGATGTTTCCATGGCGGCAATTTTGAAAGGCATGTTTTGCCAACTAAAGATTTTTCTTTTGTAATTAATAGAAAAGAATTAAGCATTTTTGCAATTCCTTTAAAATTTCAGTAGACTAACCGTGTTACCATGCTAATATTCCAACAAACTTTGAGGTGGAATGGTCCCCCTAAACTGGAGTAAAACGTTTGTTTAAATATGGAGAAGAAAGATCAATTGCGTGCGATTGCACTCATGAAGAGAAAGTAAATTTTTAAGGTTTTATTTTATAGCATTAACGCCAACAGTTCCCGCTCTTTTTTTTTTTTTAAAAAAGATTTGACTTTCAAACAAGCATATCTTGTAAGTTTCTGTTTCGCTCTATGCCATAAACTAAAGTTTGACAGTTAACTCTTGTTTTCGGTGCTTTTTGCAGGCTTCACTTGGAGATAACCTTATTTTGCACCAAATCCAGTAAAAAATTAATTAATGTCACGTGACAGACGATAAAATGTTATGACTAAGACCAATACGACTATTGATCTTTGATTACCCCAAATTTCAGGAATTTTATCTTAAATACCTTCCAAAGCAGAAATATTGGCGTTAAGTCAGTTGGTAGACCTTTGAGAAAAATGCACTTTTAAAAGTTTCTTACGTGATGGATTAAGGGCCCATTAACCGATTCATGCGCGCGCTCGCGCGCGTTGCTAAGG